AACCACGGAGAACCACGGAGAACCACAGAGAACCACGGAGAACCACGGAGAACCACGGAGAACCACAGAGAACCACGGAGAACCACAGAGAACCACGGAGAACCACGGAGAACCACGGAGAACCACGGAGAACCACGGAGAACCACAGAGAACCACGGAGAACCACGGATAACCACATAGAACCACGGAGAACCACGGATAACCAGGGAGAACCAGGGAGAACCATGGAGAAAGGGTTTGTGAACCATGATGGCTCCATGTGGGTCCATCAGGCTCCTCATGCGGTTAATCCATAAAGCCTCCACTTCACGCCTCTGTTAGAGCTGAGCTGCATGTTGCTGCTTCAGAGAAACCAGGAAACCTGGAAGTTGCTTCAGCAGATTCAGCGTTTTCTGTTGGTTTCTAAAGCAGCAACAAGCGCAGCAAAGCATGCTGGTCCTGAGCTGCTCAGGCCGCCTCTGGTACCTTGGAAGTAGGGCACATAGTTGTGCTGCTGAAGCATTGCCAGGGTTGTGGGGTTCAGCTGTAGAGACAAGCCTGCGCTGCCTCCTGCTGGTGTGGGAGAGTACTTGCCAAGGCCTACAGCCCCAGCGCCCCCTTTAGTCCCCCCAGGGTAGTGCTTAGGGAGGGAGGCGGTGGCCCTGGCTAAGGGGGAGGGGCTCTTTGCTCCACCCAGGTGGGGTTTGGGTGGAGGAAGGCTGCTGGTTTTACCAGCCATGTCCACCTCTGGTCCTGGACATCCAACAGAACAAGGCGAGGAGTAAAGACGTGTTTCCACAAACATTTGATGGATCAAAACACTTTATAATAGATAATAGAATAGATTCCACTTTAGTAGAAATGATTAATATTATCGGTAGGTGCAAAGTCCCAGAATGTCCCCAGCAGAATGTCCCGAGCAGAATGTCCCCAGCAGATGAGGACAAAGTTCTAATTCCAGCTTGGCAGGAAGAAGAAGCAGAAAGCGGGTCCTCACCTGCTCTGCTGAAGTTCTGAGGGGAACGCGACGGCGTGTAGCGTCCGTAGCCCCCCACAGAGCTGTTGGAGCTGGGGCTGGAGGGCCTCCGCTGGCGGGGGGACTTCTCCCCGTCACCCTGGAAACACAAACACAGGAAGGGACCCAGACGGTCCTTTGAGTCTCTGAGCTCCAGCAGAGGATGGATTCAGCAGACAGAAGTGAGGCCTTCAAGGACATTAGATCTTTAGCAGCTTTCTCCTCTGGCTGAGTTCAGCTTCAAATGAACATTTCCTAGATCACCTTCATCTCTGCTTCAGACTTTCTGTTTGACTTTTTCTGTCCTCCTTCGATGTTAAAAGCTGTTTGAAATCTGGAAACCCTGAGGGAGGAAGGAGGGAGGAAGGAAGGAAGGAAGGAAGGAAGGAAGGAAGGAAGGAA